AAGGCATTCAGTAGCTCTGCCTTCTCCGCATCCTCCGTCACCAGGACACCCGCCTCATTCAGCAGCGGCCCCACATTGTCCCTAGCCTTCCTTTTGCTGCTGATGTAGTTGAAGAAGCCCTTCTTGTTGTTTTTGACATCCCTTGCCAGCTTCAATTCCAGGTGGGCCTTGGCCTTCCTCATGGCATCCCTGCACGCTCTGACCACATTCCTGTATTCTTCCCAAGTGGCCTGCCCCTCTTTCCACATTCCATGGACAAAGGCAGGATGCTGTTGTCCTTCTTGGCCACCTGGGCACACTGCTGGCTCGCGTTCAGCCGGCTGTCGACCAACACCCCAAGGTCTTTTCTGCTGGGCAGCTTTCCAGCCACTCTTCCCCAGGACTGTAGCGTTGCATGGGGCTGTTGTGCCCGAAGTGCAGGACCCAGCACTTGGCCTTGTTGAACCTCATACACTTGGCTTCCACCCATCAATCCAGTGTGTCCAGATCCCTCTGCAGAGCCTTGCTACCCTCGAGCAGATTGACACTGCCACCCAACTTGGTGTCATCTGCAACTGACTGAGGGAGCACTCAATCCCCTCATCCAGATCATTGATGAAGATGTTAAACAAGACTGGCCCCAAAACCAAGCCCTGGGGAACACCACTTGTGACCGGCCGCCAGCTGGATTTAACTGTCCTGTGCCTGCAGCAGCCAGCCTTGCACCCTGAGGTCCGTCCTACCCCGGGGAGCGGCTTGGGGGGGGGCCGGGCAGTCCCACTGGCAAAGCTCCCTCGTAAAACAAGGTGCTGATATTTTTTAAGGTGGACAAGCAGCATGTTCTTAACCCTCCTCTTGCATTCTTAGAAACAGCTTGTTGGAACATCTCGAACATATTCAGTCTAGAGCAGGTATCTGTCAAGGAAAACAGTCCAAACGCTTGGTTTGACGAGGTTACAGACAACTGTAAGGAAGGTTCCAGATGGATGGTGTCGACTCACAGTCGCTATGATGGACAGTACTTGCAGAGCCAGTAATTAAGGGTACATTGTCCATGGACTGCCTGGTGACATCCCCATGTGTGTCCAGCCTGGCTGCTGGAGCAGCAGCATGCACAGGAGTGGTGGGAACGGGGCTGAAGTGAGCGTGGAGGGAGGTGTGACGGGGCTGGGCATGGGCGGTGGAACCTGGCTTCCTCGCGCCTAATTGTTCAGCCTGTTGGCTAATTTCTGTCTTATTTTACAGAGAGAAATTTCAAAAATAATTACATTTCTACAAATTTAATAAATGCAGATCCTGAGGAAACAGAAGACCCAGCTTTGAAATTTTGCCTTTAATAACCTAGAATGCGCGAGCTGATTTTGAGAGTCATTGTGGCAAATTGCCTGCCACTGTCCAGGTACCTGGCTGG